GTAAGTAGTGATGGCAAAAAATTTTTTTTTAGGCTTAAAACACTCAGAAAAATATTCCTAACATTTTCATAAGAATTTTTTTTTTTTTTCGAATATTTGGCGACATAGAATGACAGTTTCAGAGAGGGGCCTGAAACAGTCAAAGGGTTAATGCTGTTGCAGTGCCATAGTCTTCAAGAAAACTGATAAGAACATAAAGATGGAACACTGCAGCAGGCCTATTGACCCATGCTAGGCAGGTCCAAGCCACACCTGCTTAACCCTTAAATGGTCCAAACGTATATATACGTTTTTTCAACATCTGAAAGTATGTTAAAAAATGTAATCTTTTTTTTTGTTTTACATTTGAAAACGTGTAAAAAAAACTTTTATCTACATTTTTTTTGTTACATTTGAAAATATGTAAATAAAAGTAGATCTACTTTTGTAGCAATACGAATTTGAACGCCGATTTGTTTGGACCGTTTAAGGGTTAAAAAGGAAGGAGCACTGCTGCAGGCCTAAATTCAAATTCATTTATTTCTTTGCAAGTAGCACATTGAGATTATAGTTTTACAATAATGGGTTGCGGTGCAAAGAGAGCCTCTATTATGCCTAGGCATTATGGGCTGACTTTATTTAACGGCTTACTGACTACTTATCACTAAAGAAATTATCATAGTTGTACAGTATTTCTATTAATTATAAGTGAACCTAATTTATACTAATGGGCCTATTGGCCCAAGCTAAGCAGGTCCAACTCACACACTCTCATGTATTTGTCTAACCTATTTTTAAAGCTACACAAGGTGTTTTAGCTTGATGCTACTCTATTACCAAACCAATGCTTCCCTATATTCTTTCTAAATCTAAATTTTTCCAAATTGAACTCACTGCTATGAGTCCTGTCTTGGTTGGATATTTTTAGCAAGTTATTTACTTTTTTTTTTTTTTTTTTTTTTTTTCAACAAGTCGGCCGTCTCCCACCGAGGCAGGGTGACCCAAAAAAAAGAAAGAAAATCCCCAAAAAGAAAATACTTTCATCATCATTCAACATTTTCACCACACTCACACATTATCACTGCTTTTGCAGAGGTGCTCAGAATACAACAGTTTAGAAGCATATATGTATAGAGATACACAACATATCCCTCCAAACTGCCAATATCCCAAACCCCTCCTTTAAAGTGCAGGCATTGTACTTCCCATTTCCAGGACTCAAGTCCGACTATATGAAAATAACCGGTTTCCCTGAATCCCTTCACTAAATATTACCCTGCTCACACTCCAACAGATCGTCAGGTCCCAAGTATCATTCGTCTCCATTCACTCCTATCTAACACGCTCACGCACGCTTGCTGGAAGTCCAAGCCCCTCACCCACAAAACCTCCTTTACCCCCTCTTTCCAACCCTTTCGAGGACGACCCCTACCCCTCTTTCCTTCCCCTATAGATTTATATGCTTTCCATGTCATTCTACTTTGATCCATTCTCTCTAAATGACCAAACCATCTCAACAACCCCTCTTCTGCCCTCTGACTAATGCTTTTATTAACTCCACACCTTCTCCTAATTTCCACACTCCGAATTTTCTGCATAATATTTACACCACACATTGCCCTTAGACAGGACATCTCCACTGCCTCCAACCGTCTCCTCGCTGCTGCATTTACCACCCAAGCTTCACATCCATATAAGAGTGTTGGTACTACTATACTTTCATACATTCCCTTCTTTGCCTCCATAGATAACGTTTTTGACTCCACATATACCTCAACGCACCACTCACCTTTTTTCCCTCATCAATTCTATGATTAACCTCATCCTTCATAAATCCATCCGCCGACACGTCAACTCCCAAGTATCTGAAAACATTCACTTCTTCCATACTCCTCCTCCCCAATTTGATATCCAATTTTTCTTTATCTAAATCATTTGATACCCTCATCACCTTACTCTTTTCTATGTTCACTTTCAACTTTCTACCTTTACACACATTCTCAAACTCATCCACTAACCTTTGTAATTTTTCTTTAGAATCTCCCATAAGCACAGTATCATCAGCAAAAAGTAACTTCCCTTAATTTATTCCTGTTTTAGATTTATACACTTCAATCATATCCTCCCCTAATTCTATTCCTGTCTAAAGAATGCAGATTCAGTGCCCTCAGTCTTTCCTTGTACGAAAGATTTCTGGTACATGGGATCAACTTTGTCATCGTTCTCTGTATGTTTTCCAGCATATTTATGTACATTCTGTAATATGGTGACCAGAACTGTGAAGCATGCTCTAATTGAGGCCTAACTAGCAATATGTAGAGTTGAAGAATAACCTGAGTACTCCTGTTATTTATACTTCATGATATGAAGCCAAGAATTTCTATTCGCTTTATTGCAAACACTTAAACACCCTTGTCTTGGATTTAGATTACTACTCACCAGAAGATTAAGATCTAAGATCTACATTATTATTATTTAGTTTATAAGTGCCATGGTTATTTACTTTTCCTAGGCTTAGGTCTTTACATTTCTTCTTCTTTCAACAAACCGGCCGTATCCCACCAAAGCAGGGTGGCCCAAAAAGAAAAACGAAAGTTTCTCTTTCCAACTTTAGTAATGTATACAGGAGAAAGGGTTACTAGCCCCTTGCTCCCGGCATTTTAGTTGCCTCTTACGACATGCATGGCTTACGGAGGAAGAATTGTGTTCCACTTCCTCATGGAGATAAGAGGAAATAAACAAGAACTAGTAATAAAATAGAAGAAAACCCAAAGGAGTGTGTATATGCATGCTTGTACATGCATGTGTGGTGTGACCTAAGTGTAAGCAGAAGTAGCAAGACGTACCTGAAATCCTACCATCATGTAAAACAATTACAAGCTTCTGTTTTACACTCACTTGGCAGGATGGTAGCACCTCCCTGGGTGGTTGCTGTCTACGAACCTACTGCCAAGGACTTTACATTTTTTTTTATTATGGTGACCAGATCTATTCAGCGGCCTCTCCTGCTACTCTCTCTAGCCTTAACCCCATTCATCACCAAGGATTACGTTTATGCCTTGGTGCTTTTCGCTCTTCCCTTGTTGAGAGCCTCTATGCAGAAGTGAATGTTCCATCCTTGTCTGATCGCCGTGATGCCCATTGCCTTCGCTACTATGTACGCTCTCACGATCTCCACAATCCTTCCATTTATAGAATGGTCACCGATATTAGTAGACATTCTTTATTTGTTCGCCGCCCCTGTTTGCTCCGTCCCTTTTCTCTTCGCCTACATTCGCTCTTGTCTTCTCTTCAGTTACCACCTTTATATGTTCATGTAGCATCTCACTTTTCCCTACCCCCCTGGGAAGTTCCAGCTGTTCGGGTCTGTTCTTTCTCACTCCCTTGCTCGAAAGCCCAACTGCCTACGGTGGCTTCCCGCTCTCTTTTTCTTGATCACTTCCACTCTCATTCTCATGCCATTGCTGTGTACACAGATGGCTCTAAGTCTTCAGATGGTGTCGGGTTCGCAGCAGTGTTTCCGGACAGCGTCGTGCGAGGACATTTACTATCTTCGGCTAGCATTTTTACTGCTGAATTGTATGCCATTCTTGCAGCACTTATTCGTATCGCATCTATGCCTGTGTCATCATTTGTGGTAGTCTCAGACTCCCTTAGTGCTCTACAGGCTATACGAAAATTTGATACATCTCACCCCCTAGTTCTCCGTATCCAACTTTGGCTACGCCGTATCTCTACCAAGCATAAAGATATTGTTTTTGTTGGGTCCCTGGTCATGTCGACGTACAGGGCAATGAACAGGCAGACACTGCTGCGCGGTCAGCAGTGCATGACCTACCAATTTCCTATAGAGGTGTTCCATTTCTGGACTATTTTGCTGCAATAGCTACCCACCTTCACACCCATTGGCAACAACGTTGGTCAACTCTGCTCGGTAACAAACTTCATTCTATTAAACCGAGCATAGGTTACTGGCCATCTTCTTGTCATCAGTGCCGAGGTTGGGAGACCACTCTCTCCCGCCTTCGCATTGGTCACACTCGTCTTACTCATGGGTATCTCATGGAGAGACACCCTGTTCCTCTCTGTGAGCAGTGTCAAGTTCCAGTATCGATTAGCCACATTCTGTTAGACTGCCCTCTCTATCAACGAGCACGCAGAATTTACCTCCAACGTGGTCTTCGTTCTACTACTCTCTCTTTACCTTCCCTTCTTGCTGATGGACCCTCCTTTAATCCTGACTCTCTCATTGACTTCTTGACAATGACTGATTTACTCCACAAACTCTGATGATGATACCTTTCGCACTCCCCTCAGCCCTTTCTAGTTCAGTCTCTTGCTGCCCTTTACCCTTTCACCATCCACTACCCCGCTGTTATCCGTAACCTATTACTCATCCATCTCCCTTTTGCCACCTGATGCCCTCGCTTCCTTCCTGCCCTGCAGCGCTGTATAGTCCTTGTGGCTTAGCGCTTCTTTTTTATTATAATAATAATAATAATTTAATAGCATGGACATCACAATTTCAATGACCTTGTAACCCACAGCATACCTACATGTCCTTGAGATTGCGAACACTGTACTTGTACTTACCGTCTCCAGGACTTGAATTCAATTAACAAATTTTCCCAAATTCCTTCAAACTGTTATGATCACCATTAATTTTTTACTCTGTTTTTGAACAGACTTTACATAAGATGGACTGTTTTAATGGCTGATTAAATCTCTCCAGTCTTAATAACCAATTACTGTACTGTATAAACATTTCTTAACAATGTAAAAATTAGACTGAATTGAGCATATAAAAAAAAGTTTGCACATTTCCAGTAAATATGAAAGAGAGTCAAATTAAAGTTTCACGTCACTTGATCTTAAAAAAAAAAAAATGACAACTTGGTCTAACATTGCTTGAAGGTTTTTGCCAGGAACTATTTTTCCATGCAAAGAATTTGAAACTCTGTACCTTCCAAGAAAAAATTAAAAATCATGGTTCTATAGGATAATCACTTAAACTTTTAGCATTACTATACTGGTGACTTTTATTTCAAGAACTTTGCTCTTAACACTCAGCCACTGGTGTGTCAACCATCAGTCATAGCTGTAAGTGGATCTTTTCAACTTTCACTACATTTCAAAAGGCAAAGTCACTGGTGTGTCAACCATCAGTCATAGCTGTAAGTGGATCTTTTCAACTTTAACAAATTTTGCCTTTTGAAATGTAGTGAATCTCTTTTTCATTAAAAAAAAAAAAAGTTTTACCTTTCTTAGAGCTATTTGCCTTTTCATCATACCTTGTTTGACATACATTCATGTAAAGGCAATGAAAATCAAAACACAATACTCAAAATTTGCTGTTATGTCAAAACCGAAAACTGTCAAAGATATTTTGTATAACTGTCCACTCAACTGTACATGTGATGTTCAATGCTACAAAAAACATGAAAACTGGAAAAATAGTTCTATGAAATCCATGAATGAATTATCAAAGTTTCTATCATTACTTAATTGGCTTAGTTTCCTGCAGCAAAAGACAAACCAAGTGTTGATCAAGCCATGTAATGAAGCTTTTCTTGCATTAACAAAATAAAACATGATACTTTTCCAAACCATTAATATGAATTACCAGCCAACAATTAAAATTCAACCCTTAACAACAAGCAAGTTGTCTAGTCCATGGCTTTATCTTACTAATAAAACTTGTTTTAAATTGTCTGTTAATGTGCCTGTGGAATGACATGTCATATAAAACTATTTTTCTGTAGTCAACAAAGTTACAAGTAGTAGACATAGAAAAGATATACTGAAAAGCACAGAGCTTTTTTTTTTTTTTTTTTTTTTTTTTTTTTTTTTTTTTTTTTTTTTTTTTTTTTTTGAAAATGGTCCTGTTACTGCAACTTAATTAGTTCTGATCTCTTAAAGGAGGTACTTTGATGCCTGTGTGAAGCTCTTGATCCAAGTAACTGAACTTGTCCTCTTTTTTTTGGATTAATTCTGAATTCCTTCTATTCCTTAAATGCTACATAACCTCTGGGGGTTTAATGTTTTCCCCCAATTAGAATAAAACTAAATATTAGTTTCAACATTAATACATCATGACTGCCTATAGCTACATATGAGTTTCTTAAACAATAATGGATGGCCCAAACTATAAGAAGGGTGTGAGGTGGTGTGTATGTGGCATGCTGCCGAGGCTTTACATGACCCTAGTGAGTTTAGAGCTTAGTTCTGACTGTAATAATAATAATAATATATAGTATATATAATGGGGGTTTACACTGTATAAAACTTTCTCTTGTGGTGCAAGTAGAGTGCTATGATGACCCAGAGTGTAGTTCCCCAGAGGGTCTCTGTCAGTGTAGCCAGGTGAGTATGCATGAGACCCACAGCATAATGCCAAGGAAAGATGTTGTATGCTACATTATGACCCACATACAGGAAGATGCTGTTCATACCTGCAGAGCAAAATGTTAATGGCATCAGAGGCATGAAGAACAATTGTACGGTAAATAACGTACTGTATTCAGCAACAGGGTTATGTGAACTTTTCCCTGAAGAAAGGCTCTATCCAAAGAATTAATGCTACTGTTTCCTTCCTTGGAACAAATTTACATCCAACAACAAGAAACATGATAAAATGTGTGATATTCCATCCAAAATGGTAAGTCCCATGTAAAAGTAAATTTAACTTTGCTAGAAGAAAACTTGTTAGAAGGGTCATCACTCTGCCCCGTCCAAGTCCTGGTACTCGCCTGTCCTGCTTACCAATCCTGGTACTGACCTGCCTTGAAGAAGGAGGATGCACTTCCCCTTCTCCAGCATAGGTACTGACCTACCTAATAGACGGAGGTGTGTTGCGCCATTCCCTCCCCAACTCTGATACTGACCTGCATAGTAGAAGGGAGCAACGTGCACGAACGCCATCTACCAATTGACCCCTGTAACCATATATTTATCATTACACACAAAAAACTTGGTACTTACCTGCCTGGTAGAAAGGGGCGCCACTCCACACACCCCAGACATCGACCAGCAGGTAGCAGACAGCCAGCAGGAAGTAAGCGAAGCAGGAGGTAACCATGACGAAGGAGAGAGACCTGGTGAAACACATTAGTGAAATATAATGAAAATTGTGAGGATTTGGCTCGCACTAGGCTAGCCAAAAGCAGTCAAATCCAAGCAGTATTTTTTGTTTACCCCTAGCTGACTCATATTTTTGGGGTATCTACATATTATTTTGAAGTACGTAGTAAGGAAATGCTGTAGTAATCTACCATTGTTTATAAAAAGATTTATTTGTTTTGTCCTTACTTGAAGCTCAGGATAATAAATAGTTTTGTTTAAAAACTGTTTTATGGCAAAGTGCTGTACGACCCTTGTGGGTTTAGCACTTGCTTTTGATTATAATAATAAAGTTATGGCAAAGGGTATGCACCGGAATATGGAAGGGAGGCGGCAATTTGCACAATTTCGCTTAAGGTACTACATATTCAAGGACATCCCTGGGATCGAACCTGAATACTTCCGATTTCACGAGTGGTATGACTAAAGATTTAGTGCTTCCCCATGGACATAATAATATGACTCCCACTACTTTAGCGCTTCCCTGTGAATGAAACAATAACAGGTGAAAGCAGAGAGATGAGCGAGGACCCACCATAGGTTCTTGTTGACAGGGATAACACCATCGTTGATGGAGGCATTGCAGAGGGCAGCACCCACCGCCCCCAGCAGTACACACCACAGCAGCCAGCGACACGCACGACCATGGTGGCTCTGATGTGCCTGCAGCACCATACCTGCCTGTAGACCCAAAAACACCTGGAAGATCGATGTCAGCGACCCTGTGTGCATAAGACAAGTGATGGTTACTTCTTTCTCTTTGATGTCTGTAGTCTACTGATAGTTTCTTAACTCTCAACCACTCTTGTTCCACCTGGAGTCCACCTGAAGGGTATTCCGGGGATCAACGCCCCCGTGGCCCGGTCCACGACCAGGCCTCCTGGTGGATCAGGGCCTGATCAACCAGGCTGTTACTGCTGGCCGCACATAGTCCAACGTATGAACCACAGCCCGGCTGATCCGGCACCAACTTTAAGCATCTGTCCAGCTCCCTCTTGAAAGGCAGCCAGGGACCTATTAGTAATTCCCCTTATGCCTGGTGGGAGGCTGTTGAAGTCTTGGGCCCCGGACACTTACGGTGTTTTCTCTTAGTAGTGGTGCCCCAACTTTTCATTGGGGGTATTTTGCACTGCCTTCCCAGTCTTTTACTTTTGTAGGGAGTGATTTCTGTGTGCAGATTCGGGACAATTCCTTCTAGGATTTTCCACGTGTAGATTATGATATCTCTCTCTCTCTCTCTCTCTCTGTTACATATACGTATATAAATCTCTGTTGGTTACTCTAGGGGTCATTGCCATCACACATCCATTGTTGCTTAAAATACATACGTATACAATACAACGAAATCAGAAGACGGATAAAAATTAAGCATTATTGCATAATTTCTGTTGGAAGCCATTGATTTTCTTCATCATTATACAACCCATAACAATATTAATATCCGGGTATCTATATACGTATATTGCTAGGTGAAAGGGAAGATATGTACTTACTATCAAAATGGCTAGAATCCCTCAAGAAAACTTAAAATGATAAAATGGATTGGTATATGCATGACAGAAATTAACACATAAATGTCACAGAATAAAAATTGATGCAAGAAAAAACTTCCCCCATATAATGAGCATAAAATGATGCAAAAACAAAAAATTAAGAATTTCGGCCCCTCAAGGAAGGTTCCTTGATGTTGGTGAGGGGCTCTTGATTTAGGGAATTGGATTTGTGCTCCAGTTCCCCGAATTAAGCCTGAATGCCTTCCTCATCCCCCCCCCCAGGCGCTGTATAATCCTCTGGGTTTAGCGCTTCCCCCTTGATTATAATAATAATAATAATAATTTCGGCAAATGGCTGTTTGAACTTTAAAATTGTACAAGAAAGAAGTGACCAAAAGCTTTCGTACAGAGAATACATCATGCGGCATTAACTAACTTAAGTTTAATGATAAGCTGACATAATTCCTTCATTTCTGGACTGTCTGAAGGCCTGGAAAAGCAAGCCAATACCAAGGAGTGTAACAAGCTTAACGGCACACACCCACAAATGCTCCCACATCTTACACATACAATAACATCATAGCTTTTGATTAATAGTTTAAGGATGGGGGCACAGCAACTGTATTTTCAGTGTGTTTAATTCGCCGGCGTAGTCCCGTCCTGGGCATTGGCCATGAAGTGACCCAGCGTTGGTTCCCCGCTGGGGATTTAGATTTTTTAGATTTTGCCACCGAAGTGGCTAGTTTATTGTGCACCCCATATCCATCCTGTGGACGGTAGCGCGAGAGCATGTGGATACACAAAAGGCGTAGGAACTAGGCCCCAAAGGGTTAACAGGAATACATATGGATTTATATCTACATATCTATAGTTCACTTATCTGTTACAAGCAAATTTAGGAAATTTGCTTAGTATATCTGGTATCTTATTTTCATTAATAAGATATCTTGACATGTCACATAGGTTATTATACTGTCTGTCTCTGTATTCCTCAATAAGTGGACAATTAAGCACATAGTGTTCAAGAGAGTGACCATATGCCTGATCACATAATTTACATTTAGTTTGATAATCATCTGTGTGTCTCCCAAACTGCCAGAAGTACAGTGGACCCCCGGTTAACGATATTTTTTCATTCCAGAAGTATGTTCAGGTGCCAGTACTGACCGAATTTGTTCCCATAAGAAAATTGTGAAGTTGATTAGTCCTTTAGACCCCCAAACATACCGTCAAATGCCCCTTACTAAAAACACTTTTCATAATTGGGGCCTTGGGG